AGTGAGCAGTCAGTGCTTGAGTGGCCGACGCGCAGCGGCGATTGTGAGAGAGCGAGCGAAAGGGAGAACGTTTGTGTGTGTGCAGGCAACGCAATGTCGAAGGTTCCCCAGCTGCGAGTGTCTCCACTCAGGGTGCCGCAGATCGGTCTACGCGCATTTCAAGATGTGCTGTTGAGGTTGAAGCTCGATTTTCTCCTATGGGGGTGGAATTGGACGTGTCCGGAGATGGTGCGCGAGTATCTGCAAGAGAGACACAAGCCTTCTCGCGGATTTCGCCCACACCCAGAGAGATGGGAAATTGGCAATTGGGCGCAGGTGTTGGGCAGGTGTGCCGGCGAGGAAGGGGATCTCCTCTTCGAGGCCGACAGCGTGAAAGTGTCCCAAGAGGAAGAAGTCTCTTACAATGAGCTCTTCAAGGTGGCTAGACATCCCAAGAACGGTTTCCGGACTCGGGATTACAAGGATCGATTGCGGAGAAATGTCGCGACAGCACTGCTGCAGATATTGCAGCCGACCAAGACCGCTTACATGCATGGTTGGCAGGTAGAGTTCGTGGAGCTAGTGTTGTCAGGAGCTCCGGTGCATTGGGCACGACTTCTGTGGAAGGTGACGCGCCAACATGCGCAAGAAGAGAGGGGAGGAACGCTCAATCATCTATCGCCTTACTTAATCGTGTTTTACCGGGCGATGGGATGTTTGACGAATGCTGAGAAAACTCGGTTTCCGCAGCTGAGCCGGTCTTATCCAGGTAGATATTCAAGGGAGGCCGAAGTAGACACGGATCCGGACGAGGAACTTGCCAGTACGCCTCCGGCTCCGGCTCCAGCCAGAGCAGCAGAAGAACGTCGAAGTGAGCGCATTCCGCGCAAGCGGAAGTGGGATGAGAGACCTGAGGACAGGCAGCCGGAAGTACCAGCTGCGCCGACTCGTGGTCGGCCCACCCCCGAGCCTCATAGTCGACCAAAACAGAGGGCACGCAGAATGCCAACTGTTACTGAGGAGACCAGGCGAACTCCGACCCGGCGGAATCTCACACAGGAAGAGATAATCACTCAGGTTCTAGGGAAGACGGCAGAAACCTCTGCACAGAAGGCACCACGGCCTTCGGGAGGAGATGGACGGACTGACGATCGGCCGACTGCGAGTCGGATGACTGAAGGTCGACAGACGGAAGGAAGGCCAACTGAACGGCGCGTTGAACCGGACAGCAGGCCGGAAGCGGGAGAGAGTTTGGCTGACGAGCCAACAATCCTCAGAGGGTCGTCTTCGGCGGAAGGCACTTCTGGAAGAACGCCACCAACAAGTAGGCCAAGTGGAGTCAAGACGCGCAGGGTGTATCCGACTCCCAGTCGGACAACTGCTGGCCGGCCGACTGCGAGTCGGACAACAGAGAGTCAGCCGGATTCGCCGACTGCGAGACGGATGGAGCCAACGACCAGTGTGCGGACGCCTTCGGCGGACGCACCTTCAGCAAGGACACCTTCCGCGCAGATTGTGCCGGAAGGACAGGCAGCAGAAGCGGGCGGTGCAAGAGCGACAAAAGTCACTGCGGCGTCGACCCCTTCACAAACCGAAGATCGAGCCGGAACAGGGGCTCAAGCAGTGGGATCTCCCACTGCCCTGGATATTTTAGCAGGCAGTGGAGCAGCAGTCGCAGCAGAAGCTGCTGCGCGCCACAGTTCCAGGGAGTCGCCAAGGGATTCGGTGGCGACTGAAATCCTCGCGACTGAGGATGATACGAGCTCGGAAGAGCAAGAAGAGGAGTCAGTGCAGAAAACGCCAACAGGGGTGCTGTGCGAACAGATAGTTCCACTCCTGCGATATCTGGATCGCAAGACATCCAAATACGGAAGTGCCTTAAAACCGCAGTCTTATGTGGAGACAATCAGGCGAAGGACGAGGAGCAAGGTGGCAAGGTGGGCCTCTAGATGCGGAGTATATGTGGATAGGAACACCGCCCTCCGACAACACCTGGCGGTCACCCAGAAGCTGTACCAAGCCTTGCAGCAGCAGAAGGAGGATGCGGCGACGAAGAGTCAGGCGGAGGCCGAACTAATACGGGCAAGGATCGAGTCGGAACTGCAGGAGGAGCGGAGACAGAACGAAGTCCTAGCAGCCGAGCTTGCGCGCCAGACGCGCGCCTTAGAGGAAAGTCAAAGAGCCCGGAAGGAGGATGAGGAGTTGTTGTGCAACTTGCAAACCGAGTGCTCGGATTTGAGGACACAACGTGCGGATTTAGAAATGCAGCTGGCAGAGGTGGAGAGCAGCAGCAGGGCACGAGGAGAGTTGGCGGCACGGGTGACTCGTTGTCTAAACGGATACACCCATTGGGAGGTGGCAGCTCAAGAGAGGGTTACACTCCGGGAGTTTGAGCTTCGGGCGGCGGCATTGACGGAAGGTGACAGTCGGAGTCGGCGGCGAGTGGCAAGGAAATTAGAAACTTTTCTGTCGGGTGCGCGCGACACTATGGCGCACTTGCAGTCGGAAGTCACTGCAGCGCTCCGACGCCTGGGGTTGCGCAGCCGGTCGGAAGACTGGCAGGGTAGAGATAGTACGCGGAGCAGTCCGGCGCGCAGGAGGCGCAGCACCGGATCTGCTGAGTGCAGTAGAGTAGTTTGGTTTCGCGCAGATGCTGCGAGTGGTAGATAGGATAGCGTAGTGCTAGTTAGGATCTTTTGAGAGTATAAAGTAGATCAAGGCGTTTTGCCTTGGGACTCTTCCAGTTTCGGAAGTGCAGATCAGGAACTCACTTTCTTGGCGTGTTTGTGCGTTTTGGTCCTGGCACCACGTAGAGAAGCTGCAGCATAGCGAAGTTACCGTATGTTGTAGTTGAAGGCCTTCGGCTGAATGTTCAGAGCTCGCACCCGGTTAGAGACTTGAGTAGTGCGGATCTGCACCTGCGGGTGATTTCTGATGCTCAGAGCCGGCTGCGAGTTAGAGACTTGAACAGTTCCCCCTTACTCCTTCGAGTGACATATCCTGATTGTACTCCTACGGGAAGTTTCCCCTGAATGCCAATGTGAAGTTTCATTACTTCGTGTAAACCTTGGTTTGTAATTCAGGTTGTGTGTGTGTTACTGGATCGTGTTTTCAGTAAGTTCTCAGTCGGGTCTGCACTCCCTGCGTTTTGTGTGATAGTCGAGGGTGACGTCCACGGCGTACGTAGAGGCTTCGTTCCGAAGTGAGAAGTCCAGTCCGGGTACCCCCGCTAGTTCCTGGCGGAAGGGCAGTAAAAGCCGGAGTGGGAGGCACTTCCTGCAGAACCTCTGAGTGAACTTGCGAGACACTTTCCTCCTGAAATCCGAAGCGGAGGTCCTGACCGACCTCCGAGTTGTGCTTTTTGCCAGTTTCAGGTGTGTGTGTGTGTGTGTTGAGTGACCAAGCTGTACCGTGCATCCTCCGAGCATCCTCCGAGTTGAGTTCCTCCTCCGAGTCGAGCCTCCGAGTCGAGCACTACAGTATTTCTGGGAGTGACAGTCGCCTAGAATTCAAACTCTACCAAAAGTCTGTTAAACGTGACACTTTTACTCTGTGTGTTGCCTCTGTCCCTGTGGGTTCGATCTTTTTACCACCATACTGCAGTTTTAGCCTTTGGTGGGTTATTACAATCGGCTTACCGATATATGGTACCTTTAACAAGTAATTCTGTGCAGGCATGATAAGGTGCCAATGGTTTAAGAGGGTAAAACAGTGGATTCAGATCACTCTCCGATAAGTAAAAAAAAATGTCTTTTACTTGATAGATAACCTTAGATGTAATTCTCCATCCAATTAGGACTCAAGGTAAAGATATATCTACATTGTTTCTGAACGTAATTACACAGTCCAGTACACTGTAGGTTAAATTGACAAAGCGATCAATATCATCAACAATGCACCTTCGATTACTTTATATACTGAAAACGGAAATTTTTAACCCATTCAGTATTTTCTTCTGACTTTCCGTCCGATTGCATGTTAACCCTTGATCTGAAAAACATGAGAACAGCGACCTCGACAGTTCTCGATAGTTGCTCATCAAAGGGCACCAATTCGTTGTCATATATGAGAATATCTCATATATTGTCATATATGAGATGAACAATATCATTGTCTGATAAGTTCTCGATAACTAGGTTCTTTTATCACCCTTGGGGTACCAGTGATCATCAAATTTTAGGCTATAGCGTCCCTACATTCTACTCGCAGAGACTACATTAATAAATCAACTTTTCTAGTAGAATAGAATCACTTACTCATAGAATCATAGAATCATTTTTTTATTAGAATAGAATACGTTTTTATGATGTTCAATTTCAATTGAACTCAAATTAGTTCAGATTGATCTCATTAAGATGTTAAGCTTCTCATGGGATTTGCCTCATCAGATTAAAAAATTTCAGACATTATGGCTTACTCATACATATGAGACTAGAGCCTCCATAAGAACTGTCATAGCATCAAATATTTTATGTTCAGAGCAATATTATGAGATATCATCAATCTACTAACTCTGAGGGTTTTTCTGTTTTTCTCGTCTTCCACAAGTATCTCAACAAGGTTCTTAATGGTGATTAGCGCGTTGATTACCTTCCTAACTCGAGCGTTCTCTTGTCTTCCTACGAACATTAGTTACACTATATATATGACTAGCTGGAGTCAAGAGAGTAATTAATCATTTGTTCAAGTTCGAATAAATCTGCTATAAAGATAAACGAGTTACACCATTTTAAATAAAAGTGAGCTTTCATTTCATTCAGATTTCCATTCAAACCTTCTGCTCTTTCAGAGCGTCTTAGCGGTGGCAGCCCCATATAAATTATAATTAAGAATCAGAAGATTGTTCATCAGAGAAGTGATTTGGAAAAACAAATGACAGTTAGTCTTTGTCGTTCCAAACGAGTATGTTTCTACTTCAAATTCTGAAAATGACAGTTAAACGTACACCGAATCCAAAATAAAACGCTGAGATGACCGATGCTTAGCTTACTCACAGTCACGCCTAACTACAGTAGTCCGTGTTTCGTTCCAGGACATCAGATCTCCAAACATGACAGAAACTTCTCTCCAGTAGTCTGACCATCGACTCTTCGTTCCTGATACCACTCTTCTCTCGTCCACACATCGCACATATGATTTCTCTTAGCATCAGATGTTTCTCATCTGAGCCGATCTGTGGCAACAAGCATGAGATTTTTTTTCATGATTTTCTCGAAATTGACTGATTCCTGTCTCTTCTGAGATGTTCCAGATTTGATCAAAGATGACATTCATATGTATCATCCTTTAGAGCTCGCTCGTTGCGATGGAACTCGAAAGAGAAGAGGATCGACCTCAAGATCTATTGTTCTCCTTACCTATAGAATTACTGATCAAGGTTCTCAGAGATCAGGATCTGCCAATTTTGACTCTTGCGGAATGTCGTGTAGTTTGTAAGAAATGGAAGGCAATCATAGATGGGACGGAGTTACGGAATAAAATCTGGAATAAATCTGTTCTTATGTATTATGACGAAAGTATTGACAATACGGCGTACTTCTGCTTTAGTCATATATGGATCAGAAGAAGCATTACATTTGGGCCCAAGTACGTGGTCGCTGCTGATGGAGGCCTACTGTGTTTCAATGACCTGTTGTCAACCGAATATGTCATGTATAACCCTGTTGAGGACAAATTCCTGACTTTGAACGTACCTCATGAAATCGATGGAGTGTCTACAGTCTTCGATGGTATGCTTGAATGCATCGTGGTGGGTTTAGTTGTGGACCAATCAACAAAACACTTCAAGCTGGTTTTGGGAGGAGTTCTAGTCCCAGATAGAAGCAGATCTTTGATTTACGATTCGACTACCAGTACATGGTCGTGGATTATTCATCCGTTTCCTACACTATTGAACTGGATGGAAGTAGGGTGGCACAGTGGGAGATGTGTAGTATGTAATGGATGTTTGCATTGGCTCGTATGGGATCCCAGGGTCACGATTAAGGCTCTATTGATATTTGATCTCAGAGAAGAATCATGGAATGTTTTGGCAGAGGAAGTCATGGAGGACAAGCCTGGTGCCCTTCAGATTGTTGCGTATGAAGGATGTGTTTGCCTACTCGCCATGGATTGGACTGATGTGGAGTTTGATCATAGGAGCTATGACGGCAACTTACTCCGCCATCCAATGGTCCGGAGAATAGATGGATCTCTGATCAGCAGAACACGAGATCTATGGGTTATGGAGGGTGGCAGAGCTTTCAAAATTTATGCTTCGGGAGGCAGTGATGTGTTCTTCGTTTTCGAGGAAGAAGGTGAAGACCTTGAGGTGGCGAAATACTGGGCTGAAATCGACATGATGTTTTTTTTACCCGAACCTCCATTTCGCGCAACCCATGAGTTTCATTTATGGGGATTTCTGCCACGTGTTTTTCACGACCCTTGGTGCGCGGTAATTCCAGCTCCCGGAGTAAATGCAGAGCAGGATTGGATAACACAGCAGCAAAGACATCTGTAATAGGAGGTGGGGGATTTTATCAGAGGAGAGGACGTAGTGGAAGTCCGAAGAGAAGTTATAGGAGTCTCAGGAGGAATCAGTTCACCGAAACATATGTCTTTTGAACTGCACAGATTTTAACAGCTACATGTGTGCAGGCATGATATTGTCGAAGTACCTTAGTAGGGTGGAAAAAACAAATCAGCTCCCCCTTCCGATAAGCCAAAAACGTGTTTTTTCCCCTTCGGTACCTCCCATGGATGTAAATAATAATATGCTTCTAAATACCTGAAGTCCTGATTTCTCTAGGATGTTAAAGGATATGAATGTAATTCCAGTACTGGAGTCTTCATAACTCTCCATTATACTGTAGGACTGTACTGTCATGTCCATTGACAACAACTATGGCACTGGATGATGCATTCTCGATAGCCAAGTTTGTTCATACCGTCGAGGACGCTGGAAGCTTAGATCTTCACTTGCTCTAGTCATGAGTTTATACATCGGCCATGATTTGAGGCACTTCAAATTCCATCGAGTAGAGGACTATGAACGTCGTCAAGAACAAGGTGATAAAAGCATGTTTAGATACTTCCTGCTTGTCACAATGTTATTAATACATGTGTGTGATTACCAAACTATTGCAATAAATTAGTGCAATTATGGTTTACTTTCTGATGCAAGTAAAACTTGTAGTGCGAAGTTTTAAGTACGGCAATCGTGCCATGCTTGAACCCGTTCCTCGTGCTGCACAAAGACCAAGTTAGACTGAATAGAATATTCCATACTCGTAATATTTGTAAAAGATGCATAATGCTGAACAGTTGGATAAGAGTAATGACAAAATTGACAATTACAAGAATTTTTTCCAATTCCCGTTTTTTTGGTTAGGTTTTCCAAAACATGGATAAATTGAGTTTTAGATTTTATAAATCGGAATTTTTGGTTCAAAAAATGTGATCACTAGTTCTGCAATGCGTAAACCCTTACCAAAGATTCACCTATGATATAGGGCCAACCATGACGTCCCTAAATAAATATATGTGCAAACTATATACTTCAAAAAATTCAAAAAATTATAATATCTATGCCAAAAATGAAGTGAAATGTTTTTTGCAATAAAAAAAATATTTTTTCGAATTAAAAGAACGTGATGGAAACAATCGCTATGTCGTTTGGACTACATGCCAACTGGAATGCCACTTTTAATTCATGTTAGTCTGGATGGGCTGGTTGGTAAATAAAATAAAAGTTTTTAATCAATTTTTTGGATTTTTGTGTTTCTTTGTTAATACTCTCGTCTTTAGTCCCTATTTGCAAGCAAGTTATTTCTGTTGATGCGTTATTGATATGAATGTCAATCATAATGAGTAGTGAAGAAAGTGAAACTCGATATGCAAACATTTTATATCTTTCCCTTTCATAAACATTACTTGCGAACTTGTAATCAAAGGTCAGTACTTGTGATGATGGTTAATTTAAGGTGTTTTTGTGTCCGTGTTATTCCACAATAGCGGAATTTGCTCATTGGTATTAAAGTGGAGTTCTGTGAAAGTTCATAGAATACTCTAACCTGGGACATTATGGATGCACATGTAGCGGAATAAGGCATGAAATTTGATCTTTGTTGTGCCTCAAAGATTTTGTTGTAACTCCAAGGGGCCACCAGGAGACCTAGATTATGTTCATGCACATTAGTATCACCATGGATATTAATGATGATGTAATTTATGGTGAATGCCCAATCAACGTTATTTCATATACTTCTGTGTTTGAAAAGATTATTTTAGTAATCGAAGTATGCGCCTTTGGAAGAACTTTTCTTCACTTTACCGGTCCAAACCCAGAGTGCAACAAAAACTAACTTTTTTTTTAAGAAGATTCAATATTATCAGATACAGAAGACTTCTCTTCACATTGAGTCACGAAAAAATTCATCTACAGAAGGTGCGTATAGAACTCAAACTCTCTGTATTTAGAGATATAGCAAGCAATTCTCAATCATCAAGTCTTTGTTGGAAAATCAAAAGATAATTTATCGTATTTTTATGTATCTATCTAGAAATTTTTATTACAGTTTAGTCTTAGGGATAAAAAATTGAACGATAAACGCACACCAAATCCAAAATGACAAGCAGAACTCCCAGTTACGGTGCTAGTCCGTACTATTATGGTCCGGTACATCAGATCTGGGAGCACAAGACGAAATTGTCTCCCGTTGTCTGACCATCGACTGTTCGTAAGAGTTACCACTCTTCTCTAGTAAGCACATCGCACAAGTGAAAAAATTGCATCACACAATCGTTCTCATCTGAGCCTATCTTTGTCAACCAGCATTAATTTTTTGTCAAGATTGCAATTGACTGATAACTCTTTCCTTCTGAAATGTTACAGATTCGTCCTTTGCAATGGCTCCCCAAAAAAAAGTGGATCAGCCTCCAGATCTATGGGACCTATTGAATTACTGACTATGGTTCTCAGAGATCAGGATCTGCCCATTTTCACTCTTGTAGAGTGTCGATCAGTGTGTAAAAATGGAAGGAATTCATAGATGGTCCGGACTTACGAAAGCAAAAATCTGGATACAAGGTTTTCATGATACAAGTACTGACCATTCGTCCTACTTCTCTTAAAGTGACCACTGGAACTAGAGGAATTTTACACTTCAGCACAAGGAGGTGGTAGCTGCTGATGGAGGCTTACTATGTTCAACTTAAATATTCATATCAACAGCATTTGTTATGTTTAACTTAGTTGCGGAGATAATCCTGAGCTTAAGCCGAACTCATGAATTCGATGGAGTACCAACAGTCCATGATGGTAATCTGAAGCGTGTGGTGGTCGTTTTAGTCGTGGAGCAAAGAAATATTGAGTTAATTTTGGGAGGAGTTTTATTTCCTGATAGACACAGATCTTTGATTTACAAGTCGGCTAATTCATCCGTTTTTTACATTGTTGAACTGGATAGAAGTAGAGTGCTGTCGTGTGAAGTATGCAATGGATGTCTGTATTGGCTCGTATGGGATCCCAGTGGCGTAATGAAGGCTCTATTGCTGCTTGATCTGACAGAGTAAAAGTGGAACGTTTCGGCAGAGAAAGTCAATGAGGATAAGCCAGGTGCATTTCAGATTGCTGCGTATGAAGGACGTGTGTGCCTACTCGACTTATATTCCTTTGCTCTGGCCGGGAAGTTTCAGTTGAAGTTCCAAACCTTTTTTCCGTGCAGCCCATGAATTCCATTTCTGGGAATTTCTGCTGCAAGTCATCCATGACCCTTGGTGTGCAATCATTCCAGCGCCCGGACAAAGTGCAGAGCGGGAGTGGATGACACATCAGCAGGACAAGTTGGGGGAAGCTTAGAGAAAGGAGGAGGAGAGTGTGTGCAGGAAGCTTCAAGAGATGAGTTGGGTAGTGATGTTTCCAAGAGAAGCAAGACTGGAGCAACTAATGGCATCTATAATGTACCTTCAATTTTCAGAAAATGGAGTCTGAAGACCAGCTGCCGCCTGCCATATCCTTCCCAGCTGCCAGTAGCTGCTGCGTGTTTGTGGTTCACTTGTTCAATAATGTGACTAATAATGTGAGCTGAGGAACGACAAGGTGCTTCTCATTAATAAATAAGCCGCAGATCGTGCGAAATGAGAGAAAATCTTCTCTTGAGTGAAGAGCAGTGCCAGAATCGCCCACGCATGCTCCGGAAAAGTCTCCATACACGGACGAGACACACGAGCACGGCTGAGAGAATTTGGTTTACTCATGCAATGTTTTGAATCATCCAACGCATATGCTGAAATCCACAAGTGAGATTTACATTGATTTTGGACGAGAGGTGGGAACATAGACAGAAAGGGCCACGCAGAGCAGAGCCCCTCTCTCCTCATGTCAAGTAGCTGTAGGAGACTTATTGCCAGCTCTGGAGATACTGTTGTTGGACTCTGAGAGAAACTTCTGCACTCGCTACAATGGGAGAGCTCTCGAACTCCAATGCAGGAAGTGTCCCCAGTGGAAGGTTCTGAGGGCTGAAATTGCAAACGGTGCAGCTGAGTTTGAGAGTTTTGTCATGTATTTAGATAAAGGATAGTATCAATTGTACGCTGAACTAGATGACCCGGAAGTCTCCTGCGGCTGTTCAATAGACCTGCGAGTCATACATGGCAACTATCCTTCAAAAATCAAGGTGGACACAGAGACTGGCACAAAAATTTGTCTGTCGGGTGATACACAGCAGTTTTTACCCGAACTTGTCATCACCATAAATTCCGGATACGGCCGGAGGCTCAAGAACAAAAGTGCAGTTTGTAGCATCCCTCAGGGACCAGAGTGGTGCTTGTACTCTCAACTCACGGTAACCAGGAAGTGATGTGATCATTAGGCCTATTAGGTAGGGTACTGCGGGGGGAAATCAATTCTCTAAAAACTCTGAGTATATTGGCGCGTACATTTACGGGTAATGTCGTCCACACTTTCAGTATCCTGATGAATGGGAAAACTGAAGAAACTTCAGTCCTAGAGAGGCTGGAAGTATCTGTTCGAAGCAAAGATGTTTTCAAGGAACAATGGAAGTACCTGCTTTGGTGCATGCGAGGAAACCACCTCATTCACTTGGATTTGTCAGACTCCAAATTTGACAAGGAGGCGTTCAAGGACCTCATTGGGGGTCCTGCAAGTGAGCTTGATTTTTCACAGAAATAGAGGTATCATGAACCTTCCAGATGCTTAAGTCGGGCGAGCACAAGCTGTAGATGAATGTTCGAGATCACGAGAAGACAAGCTACGCACTGAAGGGAAGAGCGAGGTTGGCACTTGCAAATAGAACTCAAATCTTGGCAATATCAGTGATGTTTTATTGGAGAAGAATTCTCTTCGACTCTTGGAGAGGGGCTAGGAGCATTTTTACTTAGTTAAGGGTGACTTTCGGGTTGCTATATAGATTGGTTATTTGGAATTTAGAGAAGAAGTTGACTTAGAGAATTTTACACTCGGAGTAGAGAATTAATACCTTAGATTTTTCCTCATTTGCAGATGATAAACAATTCTATTGTTTGTTCCTCATGTTCTGTTAATGTAGTACTCACGAAAGCCAACTTCCACTAAGTTTTTCATGATCTCAGACTTTACTTCCGATACATCCATAAGAGGTAGGTTAGGAGATTGATAAGTGTACTTTGTGAGGCGAATGTTCAGAACCACTTAAGGGTACGCCATGTTTTTCTAGATTTTCTTGCCACTTTTAGAAAAGAATAGCCAATGATGGGTAACGGTGGAACCACGAAATCCATCAGTAAATCATAATGTGATCTTTCCACTAAATTATATATGAAAACCATTTGATTTTTAAATTAACCACTATCAGCATTAATGTGGTACCCCACTTTTGGTATTTTTGCGGAATTTAAAACATTTTTGGAAAATTGTACCGCGGCAGCAGTGTAAATAGCCATCGGTGCATCAAAATAGAGTGAATCTGGATGATCTCGGAGAATCTCAAAGAATCTCGTAGAATCCAGGAGTTGGGCGCAATGTCTAGGACAGACGCCGCCCTAAACGACGGGCGTTGAAGGAGTGCCCCTTCGACGCAAGGCGCATAATCCGCCTTCG